ATGTTTTCAGTTATTTAAAAAAATATTCACAATATTCCAAAAGAATATTTCCAGTGATCTCAAAGAATATTCTTAATGTTCCAAAAGAATATTCCCAATATTCCAAAAGAAAATTTCCAATGTTCCTAAAGAATATTTTCAGTGTTCCAAAAAAATATTCCTTTTGTTCCAAAAGAATATTTCCAGTGGTCTAAAAAAATATTCCTAATGTTGCAAAAGAATATTTCCAGTGGTCCAAAAGAATATTCCAAAAGAATATTTTCAATGTTCCAAAAGCATATTTCCAGTGATCTCAAAGAATATTCTTAATGTTCCAAAAGAATATTCCCAATATTCCAAAAGAAAATTTCCAATGTTCCTAAAGAATATTTTCAGCGTTCCAAAAAAATATTCCTTTTGTTCCAAAAGAATATTTCCAGTGGTCTAAAAAAATATTCCTAATGTTGCAAAAGAATATTTCCAGTGGTCCAAAAGAATATTCCAAAAGAATATTTTCAATGTTCCAAAAGCATATTTCCAGAGATATCAAAGAATATTCTTAATGTTCCAAAAGAATATTCCCAATATTCCAAAAGAAAATTTCCAATGTTCCTAAAGAATATTTTCAGCGTTCCAAAAAAATATTCCTTTTGTTCCAAAAGAATATTTCCAGTGGTCTAAAAAAATATTCCTAATGTTGCAAAAGAATATTTCCAGTGGTCCAAAAGAATATTCCAAAAGAATATTTTCAATGTTCCAAAAGCATATTTCCAGTGATCTCAAAGAATATTCTTAATGTTCCAAAAGAATATTCCCAATATTCCAAAAGAAAATTTCCAATGTTCCTAAAGAATATTTTCAGCGTTCCAAAAAAATATTCCTTTTGTTCCAAAAGAATATTTCCAGTGGTCTAAAAAAATATTCCTAATGTTGCAAAAGAATATTTCCAGTGGTCCAAAAGAATATTCCAAAAGAATATTTTCAATGTTCCAAAAGCATATTTCCAGTGATCTCAAAGAATATTCTTAATGTTCCAAAAGAATATTCCCAATATTCCAAAAGAAAATTTCCAATGATCCTAAAGAATATTTTCAGCGTTCCAAAAAAATATTCCTTTTGTTCCAAAAGAATATTTCCAGTGGTCTAAAAAAATATTCCTAATGTTGCAAAAGAATATTTTCAGTGGTCCAAAAGAATATTCCAAAAAAATATTTTCAATGTTCCAAAAGAATATTTCCAGTGATCTCAAAGAATATTCTTAATGTTCCAAAAGAATATTCCCAATATTCCAAAAGAAAATTTCCAATGTTCCTAAAGAATATTTTCAGTGTTCCAAAAAAATATTCCTTTTGTTCCAAAAGAATTTTTCCAATGTTCCAAAAGAATATTTCCAGTGATCTCAAAGAATATTCTTAATGTTCCAAAAGAATATTCCCAATGTTCCTAAAGAATATTTTCAGTGTTCCAAAAAAATATTCCTTTTGTTCCAAAAGAATTTTTCCAATGTTCCAAAAGAATATTTCCAGTGATCTCAAAGAATATTCTTAATGTTCCAAAAGAATATTCCCAATGTTCCTAAAGAATATTTCCAGTGTTCCAAAAAAATATTCCTTATGTTCTAAAAGAATATTTCGAATATTCCAAAAAAATATTCCTTATGTTCCAAAAGAATATTTCGAATATTCCAAAAGAAAATTTCCAATTTTCCAAAAGAATATTCCCAATGTTCCAAAAAAAAATTTCCAATGTTTCAAAAGAATATTTCTAATGTTTCAAGAGAATATTTCTAATATTCCAAAAGAATATTCGACGTATATTTGGAGTTTCTTCTATTTCTTTGAAAAACTTTCGATTCCTTCCTGTATGGTAGCACTTGTCGCCTATGTGGAGACAGAAGCGGGGATCGATCTTTTGCGGATATAAAGTGTAGTTCGATATCATCGGTACTGGTTGAGAAAAGCAGGGCGGGAAAGGACGTCACTTCACACCCAATTATTGCCCGGTCTTGGTTATCTCGAGGTATTGTGCCACAGCATCTACAGCTTCGTTAGAATCTCGCGTTACTCTCGCGCACAACTCTTATTCCTTATCAGCGCGCGGCTTCTTCTTCTTCTCTCTCTCTCCAACGCTCCTGACAGCTGTCGCGACTGGCAATGGGTTTCTCCCCGGTCCGAGAACTGCCCATCACTCTCCTATTGTATGCAAGTCCTCACCAGTGACGCGACGACACTGCCACGAGGAATTTTTTTCACGAGAGCAAGAGAGATTGCTTAGATGAAAGAAAACTTCTCTCTCTCTCTCCCTTTTTCTCTTTCTCTCTTTCAAAGAATAAAGATACCAGAGTGAGAAAGATAAAGAAGGAGAATTAAAAAACTAGAGAGAGAGAGAGAGAGAGAGAGAGAGAACGAGTGTAAAAGAGAAGGAGAATAAGGAAACCAGAAGGAGAGAAAGAAAAAGGGAAGTAGAGAGAGAAAGAGATAAAATTTGAATGACGAAAGAAAATAAATTTTTGCTTCTGTGGAACAAGAGAGAGAGAAAGAGAGAGAAAAACGGTTTGATCACAACTCGAATGACACAATCACTATCGGTCCACATCGCGAACCTTTGACGACGACTTTGGACAAAGACGAAGCACTTAGAGTTTTGAGGCGTAGCTGCCACGCTCGTAACTGATTTCCTCTTCGCTATCCAGAATCACAACTCTATGCAAAATATTGTCCCAAGGATTTCACTACGAGATGCCGGTGCAATGACTCCTTTTGAAAAGCGATCGCTCTTCTTTCACTCCCCGAGATTGACAGTGACGTTTTCAAAAAGAATTTTTTTTTTCTACTCTTGTTGAATAATAAAAAAATGGAATCAAACGAAACATTCCATTGGAACATTTGGAATATTCTATAGAAACATTTGGAATAGTTAATTGGAATATCCCACTGGAACATTTGGAATATTCCATTCAAACATTTAGAATATATTATAAATGAATTTTCCAATGGAATATTTGAAATATTCTCAAGTAATATTCCACTGGAACATTGGAAATATTCTAAAGAAATATTCCGTCAGAAATTTCAATATTTTAAATATTCTGATTCTAAAGGAATATTCCATTGAAACTTTAGGAATTTTCTAATTGAATATTCCAATAAAAATTCTAAATGAATATTCCATCTGGACATTTAGAATATTCTAAAGGAATATTCTATTGCAACCTTTGTAAATAGTCCATCCACTATTTAGGGATATTAAATTGTCCGACGTTTGGAATGTTTCTTTAGGAATAATATAGGAATATTCCATTAGAATTTTAAAAAAAATTATTATTATTGACGATATACTGATCAGTTTTTACGTAATTAAAATAAATGATCAATTAATTTTAAACTGAAAAAGTTGTAAATTGAAAAGTAATAGTTCTTTGGAATATTGCTGCAACATATTCCAATGGAACATTAAAAATATTAAATCCAAATTGCAGAAATATCAAAACGACCCACGTTTGAAATGTTTTTTTGAACTATTACAGAAATATTCCATCAAGATATTAAGATAACATTCCATTGGAATTATTATTTTTATTATTATTAATAAGATTATTATTATTAATATTATCAGCACTAAAAGTAATAATTTTTTGGCCCTAATTAATAAAGTATCAATTTATTTTTATATAAAAATGTTGTCATAGTTAATATTCCATTGGAGTATTCCTAAAGTATTCCAATGGAATATTCAATTGGATATTATAATTACATATTATTGGCACTGATATATTTTCAAATATTATTAAATTATGAATGAATGTCATTAAAAAGAATGTGTAAATTTAAAAGTTTGTGTTCCATTGGAATGTTTCAGTGTAATATTCCCACTAGATTCAAATAGAATTTTCTAATATTTTTATTATTATCATTATTTTTAACATTGATACTTATCATTTTTTTTATTAATAATATTCTTATGGAATATAGAGTATTCTTTACAGAATAATTGACAATTGAAATATTCCTCTATAATGATAAAAGTATATTCCACTGGAGCGTTATACGAATATTCTGTTGAAATATTCCTGTATTATTCTGATAAAATATTTAATCGGAATAATATAATTTTTTCAATTATAAATTATAATACTATATTCTTGCCTTATCCAATATTTCACTGAAATATTCCATGAATATTAATTAAATTTTCAGTAGAATATTCCCAATGTTTCAATGAAATATTCCAGAATTATGAATTGAATTATGAATATTCCCAATGTTTGAAATTTTGAATGAAATATTCCAGGAGTAATTTCAATTCTAAGTGGAATATTCCTAATATTTCATTGAAATATTTTAGAAGTATGAATTTGAATTGAATTCCTAATGAAATATTCCTGAAATGTGAATTGAATCTAAAATGTAATATTCTTATAATGTTTGAATGAAATATTTTAGGAATGTTATTTGAATCCTAAATAAAATATTCCCAATGTCCTACTGAAATATTCCAGAAATGTGAATTTGAATTGAATTCTGAATTAAATATTCCAAGTATTTTAATAAAATATTACAGGAATGTGAATTGATTTTAAATTGTAATATTCCTTTAATGTTTCAATGAAATATTCCCAATGTTATTATAATATTTCAGGAATGTGAATTGAATTTAAAATGTAATATTCCTTTAATTTTTCAATGTAATATTCCAGGAAAGCTATTTGCATTCTAAATGAAATATTCCCAATGTTTCAATAAAATATTCCAGGAATGTTATATAAATTCTAAAAGAAATGTTCCCAATGCCCTATTGAAATATTCCAGGAATGTGAATTGAATTTTAAACAAATTTCTAAATAAATATTCTAAATAAATAAATAAATAAAAATAAATAAAATTTTTAATAAAACAGTAAAAGAAAATACAAAGTGAAAAAATTTTTTTTATTGAATAGTATAATGGTAAAAATAAAATTTCTTTACATTGAAGAAGCGTATAAAAAGTGACACTTGGAATTCTCCTTTTTTTTTGTTACAGGCGAAAAGCCGTACCAGTGCACGTGGGAAGGATGCACGTGGAAATTTGCTCGCTCAGACGAGCTAACGCGGCATTATCGCAAGCACACTGGACAGAAACCGTTCAAGTGCCATCTTTGCCAACGATCTTTTTCGCGTAGCGATCATTTGTCCCTTCACATGAAGAGGCATTGATGATGGTTTGTTCGACTAGTAGCAGTCTACTGATTCCACACGCGACGCTGATGAGTACATTCGGGACCTGAAGAAATCTCCTCTCACACTGCTCAGAATTTCATCCGCTTTTTTTCTTCTTCATTTGTTTTTTTCTTCTTTTTTTCCCACAATTCTTCATCAAATTTGCTAATTGAAAGCGAAGTAAAATAAGTAAGTAATTATTTTCTGTTGCTAAATTGGGAGGAGAAAAATCTAGCAAAAAAAAAATCGTTCACTAGGTTTAGAGTTTATTGCAAAAAAAAAAAAAAAAAGAATGAAGGGAATAAGAAGAGAGTGTAATATTAATTTTTTGGTTGTTGTGAGGATTGCGCGAACCCTTAGTAAGATGATAAAAAAAACAAAAGGAAAACAAAAGCTCTATTTCTAATGCTGCGAGAGAAACTTTGAACACGTTTTCGCTGAATAAATATTAGAACAGGGAAATTGATTCTTCAGTAGTGTTTGAGATAAAATTGAGAGTCGCAAATTCAGTTCACTTATTGCGGGAAATGCCAAAACAAAGAGAGAAATTCTACACCTTTTTGTTGTCTTTCAAAAGTGGAATTAAGTTTGTTATACGTAAACGAAAAATTTTTGGTGTATCATTAAAAAAAATCGATAAACCTTATTTTCTTTGAATAAATAAAAAAATAAATTCATGAAAAAAAATGTAAATGAAAAAGGAAATTAATGAAAAATTAAATAAATCAAAAAATAAATAATTTCAAAAAAGAAAGAAATGGAAAAAATAAATAAAAATATATAATTGCAAAAAATGTAATAAAAACGTAATATCTAAATTAATAATGTACAATTTGTTTGTAATTTACTTTTGAAAAGAAAATCAATAAAAATTTGCATTATTGCAATTTTATTTTGGCAAATAAAGTAAATAAAAATTAATTTTCCAAATAAAAAATTTACATGTTTTGCAATTTTGTTTTGGACAAAAAAAATAAACAATCGTATAAACTATCTATTTTTTAATAAAAACTAATTTTCCAAATTAATAATTTACATTTTTATTGGCAATTTTGTTTTGGAAAAAGAAATAAATAAAAATTCTTATTTCAAAATTTTTATAAAAACTCAACTAATTTTCCAAAGTATTATTTTCTATTTTTCGCAATTTTATTTTGGAAAATAGAAAAAATTGCAAATTTTGTTTTCTTTAAAAAAAAAGTGCGCCTGTGATAAATTTGCCTTCTCAATTAAAATAGAAACCACTAAAATCGATTCTCACAAAAATCATTAATCAACAAACTTTCTATTTGTACTTTAAATTTTTGCACGAATTGATTAATGATTCTTTATTTTACCGAGTGTCCAAGAAGTATGAAAACTAAAATTTCTCAAAATGTTCAAAATATTTAAACTTTTTTCAAATTAAAATTAAAATTAATTAAAACTATTAAGTAATAATTAATTATTTTTTAATTACAATTAATTCAAATTTTTATCATTTTAAAATTTTAACAATCACAATTTAACGAAATGTTTCGTTTTTTAGAAATAATAGTAAATAAAAAAAAAATGTAAAAATACTATCGAAATGATTCGTTTTTTAAAAATAATAATAAAAAGAAAGAGAAAAAAATACCATTTCCATACTTTTTGAACTCTGTATATATTTTTTTCTCCTGATAATAAAATATCAGCAAAAACGTTTTCGAAGTGACTTTCGAAAATTGTGCGTCCTTTAAATTTTTGAAAAAAAAAATTTTTCTCACTTTTCTTACGCGTGGATTGCGAACAATTTTCATTCTAAATACGAAACAAAAAAAAGTTAACGATGAAAAAAAATTAGCTGTGATGAATTTTCTAAATTTAGCTGTTACTCAATATTTATATATTAAAAAAAATATATTTAAAATTTTAGGAACAATAAATAATAATTTGTTAACTAATTAATATTTCGATCGATCGAAAATTGTTCGCTCGATTAAAACGTGTATTTTAAAAATATATTTTAAAAATAAAAAAAACATCAAAAATTTCAAGACTCTTTTCTAGCAAATTTTTCTATCGCTAATTATAAAGCAAAAAAAATTGCTGCGGGTTCAGCATGATTCAATATTTTTTTTTCTTTATGATGAAGCATTATTTTTGTTTCTAGCCAATTTTTAATTTGTTGAAATTCCAATTTATTTATAATAATTTTTTTTTAAATAAGGCCAGCTCAACTAGTCTAGAGCACTATTATTATTAATAATAATATTATTATTATTAATAAATATTATTATTATTAAATATTATTATATATTGTGAAAAAAAATAAAATAGAGAGCCAGTACAGTAAATTTTAAAGAAAATGGTAGTTTTTAGTCGGGTAATAATTAAGTGATATAAAGAGATATAAAAATATTTAGAACTCCGAATAACGGAGCTTGGGACTTAGCATGCTCAGTTAAATGAAAAATAAATCGTGATGGTTAAACATTTCTTTTTTCCATTTAATAAAAAAAAAATATCTATGATAAAAAATTTATTCAAAGTGCACAAAGAATTTTGCGTTTTGAAAAAAGGACAATCAATTGAGAATGATCCAATTTGATGAAAAAATTAGATATTCTAAAAGTAAAAATTCAGTATTATGAATGTTTGCATTCAGAGAAAAATGCATTAAATTAAATTAAATAAAATGCGTTGATTGAAATTTCTTTTTTGTTTTCTGCTTGCTACCTTGTGCGGCAAACAATTTTTTCGTTTTTAATTCTTTTAAAGATAGGAAACGTTCTGTGTCGGACTTTATTAATGCCAGTTTATTAAAAAATCTATTGTAAAACTATAAATCTTATATCGTTACTATATATAGCCTAAAAGGTGCCAAAGTAGAAGGTGCAATTGCAAAACTATTTCTTGTATTTTTATTCAGTTTTATTTCTTCTAAACAAGAGGAAAATTGCTGCTTAAGGAAAAATAAAAATCTGCGGGTAGAAAGTAGAAAAAAATTATTTCCAGAATTAAAAATTAATTTGTTGATAAATAATTTTATTAAATAATTATTGAAAAAAATAGTGTAAATAAATTAATAAATTGAATTGAATTGAGAATATAAAAATTCAAAATCAATTAAATTACTAAAAGAAAAAAAAAACAAAAATTAAATTGATGAAATAAGAGAAATTCCAGTTGAAAGAAATATTTTTTTGGAGAAATAATTTTTTTTACAAGACACAGTATTGCTTTTGTACCTTTTTTGCTGATTAGAAAAAAATATTTATACATATATACCTATGGACCTAATAAGATCCAATTTATCCGAAATTTTTCTCTTTTGGAAAATTAGGGGAACTATTTAGCTTTACTATTGTTTGTTTTCTAATTTTTTTTAGCGCTCTACACACTGCACATTTATTGTAAATATAAACAAAGCAGTATGTTATGTAAAAAACAGCTTGATATTTTTAATTTAAAAAAAACAATGTTCATGGGTAATGGAAAATCGACAAATTAATATATTTTCATTGTATTTATTTGTAAATCAAAGTTTTTATTTTTATTAGATTAATGACGATATACTGATAATAATTATATTAATGAGCAGAACGATCGCTTGAGTTATTCAATTTTAGTTGAAATAATTTTCTTATATTCAAATTGTTAATAATTTTTGTCGAAAAAAATTAGGCAAATCAGGAAAAAAATTTATTTTTATTTCATATTCTTTTGGGAAGTTTAATTGTATTTCAATATTCTTTTCTTAATTTTTAATTTACTTTTTTAATTCTGTAATTTTCTTTCTTAAGTTTTTAACTTTCTTTTTTAATTTCAAAAGAAATCGAAAGCAATTTAATGATAAGTGGAAAATTTTAATTGAATTTAAATTAACAAAAAAGTTTGCAAATTGAAATTAAAACATAAAAATTAAAAATTGAAATTAAAAATTAAGAAAATTAGTAGTAAAATTTTAAAGACAAAATTAAAATTTAATGTAAATTAAATAATGTAATCTACTAATTTCAGTTCATTATTTCAAAAGAAATTGATAATTTCGCAGAAACTTTATTTTCAAAAAAAAAAATAAATAAAAAAGAATAATAATTCTGAATTTTCAATACTAAAATTGTAAGCTAATAACTTATTCACTGTGCTGTGAACGATTCTTCGAACGAGCAATTTGTGAAAAAGATTTTAAAATTCATACAGTAAATATATATTTTTTTTATATTAAGTTATTACTTTAAGAATAAAAAAAAATTATCTCATAAAATGCCAGTTTATAACAGAGCCAGTTTTTTCAGTTATAATCTCAATACGTGTATAAAAATGAATTAAACTCGAAAAATAGTTTTAAAAAAAAAATTAAGTGTAGTGCCTTCTAATTTTAAGAAAAAAAAATGGGGCGTTATGTTAGATCTTAAGTCTGTTACTAGTGCCTTAAGATTGAAGTGAAAAATTATCACGTTGGCCACAAGAATTTTTCTTTTTAAAATTGATTTTATAAATATGAACTATTTTTTTGGCAAACTATTTTAGAATCGTAAAATTTATTTATTTTATTAAATTTTTTTTAGAAATGTAAATTAAAAAATTTTTTTGACAAAATATTTTTGAATTGTAAAATTTAATTATTTTTTCTTAAAAAAAAATTTTATAAATATATATGAAATTATCTTTTTGGCAAAATATTTTTGATTTGTAAAATTTTATTATTACATTTTTTCAAAGAGTTTTTATAAATATAAATTATTTTTTTGCAAAATATTGTTAAATTGTAAAATTTAATTATTCAATCAATCATTAACATTTAAAATTTAATAAGTAAATTTGTAAAAAATAGTAAAAGAAATTCTAAGCATTGAAATCAAGTTACCAAAAATGCTAGTAGAGTAAACTATATTTTATTTCTCAATAAAATTTTTTTTTGTGCAATAATTAGGCAGATAATATTTGTTACTTAAATTTAAAAAGAGAAATTAATTAACTATTAATATATTCTTTCTATGATTTAACAATTTCAATATAATTATAATAATTATTATGTACATTTAAAATCATAGAAAGTTTTTTTAATAATTTTGTGGTTAGCTTGTTTTTCTCAAATGTTTATAAAAAAAAATTTCCATACAATTCGTAAGGAAATAACATATAAAAATAAGGAGCGCCACTTTGCTCATTATTAAAAATAAAACAATAAAAATTTTTCATTGAAAGGCTCCACCCAGACGAAAAAATTAGCATTTCAAGTGCCTTAAGAGACTTTAAAAAAATGGCGACGAGATATTGATGTAATCAATTGAAAATAAAGATGACAAATTACAAAGAAAATCTAATTTACAATTTTCTGTCATAAGCAAATCGAGAAAAAAAAATTTGTCATCTTTATTATCATCAATGATTAATCTACATTTTCTGCACTCGCATCGCACAATTAGGACTATAAACAATGATAAACCGTCATATCTTCGAAAAAAAATATTATAAATATATATTATAAGTGTACAGATAAAAAAGAAAATTTCTAGAAAAATCTTTGCAAATATTTCAATGATCAAAAATTTGACATTGAAATTTTCATCTATAAAAATTTTTCATCTCTAAACTACGCTAAAAAATAATTTAAGCAAATCTCAATTGTAAATATTTTTTTGTTTAAATTGGCAAAAATTAAGTGTAAAAACTGCTCGTTTCGGTGAATCGTTGTTTCATATAAATATATTTGCCTAAATAATTATAAATAACTATTGTAAATGATCGACAATTTTTTTTTTTTTTTGAAGTAAATAGGAAAATTCAACATATAAATTATAAATAATTATATTATAAATATTGTATACAGAAGACTCAAGTAAAGTTGAATATAAAAATTAGCAATTGAAAAAAAACGAAAATTGAATTCGTTCTAGAATTCAAAAAGAGAAAATGGAAAGAGTTTTTTTTTGAAAAAATGATTTTTTAAAGTAATAAAAAAAAATCCACATGTCACTCAAATCTACGAAAAAAACACTACTGAAGCATTGCAATAAAATAATGAAGGGAAAATATAAAAAAAAATGAATAAATAAATAGTAAAAAAAAACCGCTAGGGCCAGTATTTGTACCAATCTATTTATAGGAAAACAAGCACATATAGACATGATAATTGTATCTTAAACTGCGATAAAGCTCAAATGCTGAGTCACAAAAATAAAATTTTCTGGTGCTTTCCTATATATATTATAAGAAAAATCCATTAAAATCATCATTCAAATGCAATATTCATTTTTTATTTCCTCCATTTTAATTTGGAGGAATGAAAGCAGCACATTTAGCATTTTTCATCATATAAATAATAATAAATATATTTGTTCTTTACTGGGAAAAATAACAAGTAGTGGGTTAGATGTGGATACTGAAGTATGCGGGATATTATAAATAATTAAGTGTAAAGGTGACTTGGAATACTTTTTTCACTCTTCCTCTTTTATTTAATTTCCCGTTTTTTCAAATTATTCTTTTTTATTTATTGACAAAGAATTTTCCGAAAAAAAATTTTTTTATCTACTCTTTTTTTTAATTATTAATATTTTTAAAAATTTTTTATTAATAGACGAAAATTATTTCAGTTGAAAGAAAAAAGAATATTGTAATAAATAAAAGATAAATATAAATATAAATATAAATATAAATATAAATAATAAATAAAAATTATAAAGACATTATTTTTTTTATTAATAAATTGTTAATTAACTATTAATGACGAGAGCTGGTTAACAATTAAATAAAAGAGGAAAACAAGTGATTGACAATATTTTTAAGTCATCTTTTTATTACAATACGAAATATTCTAGTTGTAAATAGTATCTACTGATAGCTAACAAAATGAACGAATCAACAAGAAGGAGATGAAGAAATAAAAAAAATTTTATTTAAATATAAATTGGTTAATAAATTAAATAGTTTAATAAAATTCAGAAGTATCAAGTAATTTGATAAATTGCAAATAGTTAATTTTTTTAGTTTTTAAAATTATTTGAAATTATTAATTTTATTATTAATATTATAAATTGTAAAATTAATATAAGTAAATTACGCAACATAAATAACGAAAATATAATTAATTTAATAATTAAAAAAATTTAACTAATTTAACAAATTACAACAAAAAAATTAAAGTAATTGTAAAAATTGTTTATTTTTACATCTATTAAAAAAAATCCCCCTCTTGTTGGATCGAATGTTTTATTGGTTATCTCAATTAATAATTTTTTTTTCATCAATAAACAAAAGGGGCCAGTAATTTTTCTCGGATCTCGCACGAATTAAAAGGCGCGTGAATAAAAAAAATGGTTTTGTTCTCCAAAATGGAAAAACTAGTAGATATTTAAAAAATAGTTTTTTACTTAAAATATTGTTAATTTTTGAAATGAATTTCTTTTTGTCAATTTTATGTGTGCAAAGGAAAAAAAATTTAATTCACGCGCCATTATCTAATTCTTAAAAACAGCGAATAATATTCAATATTAATTAATAGCGATTACGTTCAATGTTATTAAAAATCGTAAATATTTATTAACGGATTATAATTCATTAATAAATATTAACGAAATTTAAAAATTTATTTTACTTATTATTTCTTTTTATTATTTTACTTATTATTACTTATTAGTTTTTTATTTATTACTACTTATTAGTATTTTATTTATTACTACTTACTAGTATTTTATCTATTACTATTTATTATTAATTATTATTATCGTTGACTTCAATCCTTAATTTATTATTATTATTTATTAAACAAATTAATGAAAATTTATACTGAAAAAAAATTGGTTTGTATAACCGATTACTTTTCTATTATCAAATAAATGTTTACTTGAATCAAATAAATTTTATCTGAGTCAATTAAATGGTATTTGCTTGAAATACTGGAATTGGTTCAAATAAAATTTATTTAATTTAAATAATCGTTTATGTAATCAAGGGTACCCGTTAAACTTGTAAAATAAATAAATAAATAAAAAAAATAAAAATTATTTTATTCAATTAAAGATAACATTTAATTAATATTAAAAAAATGGTAATAGTAAGAAGAAAGTAACAAATAAAATAGTAATAAATAAAATAAAGTAAAACTAATTAAATGTTTTGACCTATATAATAAAATTCGTTCAAATTTTTATTGTCCCATTTTGTAAATAAATTGAAAAAAGAAAAAATCCAGAAAATTCAAATTAATAATATTTTTATCACTTTTTACGACAAAAAAAAATTAGTTAATATATTCTATTGAACGTACTTTGATATTTATTAATATTGAATAAATTACGCTAAGACGATAAACGTATACCGATAATATATTACGACTTACTGCATAAATGAAGGCATTATTTTAGCTTTTTACGTTCATCTACATGTAATAAGAATTATTGTTAAAAAAAACACAGAAAATAAATAATAAATAAAAAAAATAGCCACATAACGGGCTATAGGAAAGGTCAGGTTCGTTGGCGGGTAGCAGTAATGATTTTTCTACATAGATTCATTTTTCTATAATTATTAAGCATAATAATTGTATCCATGTCGTTGTTACATTGCAAAACTGGTCAGAGATATGCGCCTCTCTGTCCAAAATAATTTATTTATTGCGTGAATAAGCGCCGTCTGTATATTTTGAGAGAAATACGAAAAAAATAGAGAGAAAGAGCGAGTGAGAAGATGGGCGAAAAAGAAAATGAAAAAAAATTGATATATTTATGCAAAAAAAAAAATAATATATCGCATGTGTGTATGTGTGTATGTCAACTTTTTCTATATGGAAATTCTGCATAAAAATGCATAAAAAAGTAAACGAAAAGAATGTATAAAGTATAGTTCGATGAAGGAGAAAATGACAACGACGCAAAGACGATTTGACGACCTTCACAGATTCGCATTTTCAGAATCGTATATATTGTATCATATATAATAGAGATAATGAAAAAAAATGAGATGTACGTGCGCATATGACACATTGTATGCATTAAAAAAAAATTGCTAAACAAGCACAAAAGTGCATTACTGCATAAGTGCGCGGTTCTTTTTATGCCAACAATCACGAATCATAATTGCGCATATAGGCACAAAACACCTTTTTTTCCCACCGATAATTTAACTATTATCGAGATTGGTTCAATATTTTTTTCTTCATTAGATATTATTATCATCCTCATTATATTACTACCACTCTCACTGGTACTATTATGTTTATTACAATATGTCGATAATTATTATATTATTATATTAATATATTCTTTCAACTATCGCTATTATTATTATTATTATTACTATTATGATCATTATTATAATAATAATACAATCATTATTATTATAATTATAGTTATTATTATAGTTATTATTATTATTATAATTATTATTATAGTTATTATTATTATTATAATTATTATTATAGTTATTATTATTGCTATTATTATTGCTATTATTATTATTATAATTATTATAATTATTATAATTATTATATTATTATTATTATTATTACTAATGTATTTGGCAGGGTTATGATATTAAAATTGAACGAAAAAATGAAATTTGTTGTCTGATCACTAGCGTTCACCTTACTAAAAAAATTATTAATACTGAATTATTAATAAATATAAAAAAAATAAAATAATTTTATTTTATTTATTTTTTCATAAATGTTATTCTTAAAATTGTAAACTTAAATAAATGAGGTAAAAAGAAAAAAGAAACAAATTCGTAAAATAAAATTATATTTAAATTTTTAAATATTCGATTTAATTTGTCACCCGGTAGACAAATTTTATATTTTCAAAATGTAAGAGAATTTAATTTTCAGCAATTTCAATATTTACAATGTTTATTGTTCTTGACCTTGCGGTATAAAAACAAAGGTTTACTTTATTTTCTCTATTCTTATTTTATAGAAACGTGTGCGCATTACAAGAAGAAAAATTTTGTCTGTTCTTGTCTTTTGATGACGGAAGTACCCGAAGAGTCCTGAAGAGTCAGTCGCCAGGCTGTAAAATGCGAGCCTCTCATTAACATATTGTGCCTCTTGGCGTCAAGTAGTCTTTTAAATAATTATTCATTTTTACAAATTTTGTGGCTGCAAATATTTTTTGGGAAAATTTTCTTCTTTTTCGAATTCGGTAAGTAAAATAATTTCTTAAATTATTAATTAGTTATTTAAATAATACCTAATTATATAAATAATAAGTGATGAAATAAATAAAAACAATTAATTAATATTTTAATTTAATAATTAAAGTAAATTAATAAAAAAAAATTATTTTCTTCGAATATTAAATATTAATATTAACTAAATAATTTTATAAATTAATTAACAATTATAATAAACACAAAAAATTAATAGAATTATTTATAAACTTTTTTTATTTTTGTAATAATAAAATTATCAATTATAAATAGAAATAAATAGATAAAATATAAATGAATTCGTATAAATTGATAATATTTAAAATTTTAAATGCTCGATTTAATTTTTGTCACCCGGTAGATAAATTTTGTATTTTCAAAATGTAAGAGAAATTAATTTTCATCAAATTTTGTTTTCGGTAAGTAATATAATATGAATATATTTTTTTAAATTATTAATTAGTTAATTAAATAATACCTAATTATGTAAATAATAAGTGATGAAATAAATAAAAAAAAAATTAATTAATATTATAATTTAATAATTGAAGTATATTAATAAAAAATTATTTTCTTCAAATATTAATATATTAATACTATTATTATTAACTAATTATTATTGATTAGATTAATTATTAATATTAACGAAATAATTTTATAAATTAATTAACAATTGCAATAAACACAGAAATCAAATACAATAATTTATAAACTTTTTTTAATTTGTTAATAATAAAACTATCAATTAATAATAGAAATAAATAGATAAAATATAAATGAATTCGTATAAATTGAAAATATTCAAATTTTTAAATGCTCACTGTAATTTGTCACCCGGTAGATAAATTTTGTATTTTCAAAATGTAAGAGAAATTAATTTTCATCAGATTTCAATATTAACATTGTTTATTGCCTTTGACCTTGCGGTACATAAACAATGATACAATTTGTTTGTCTTGTAAATTGCGAGCCTCTCATTAACATATTGTCCCTCTTAGTTTGAAGTAGTCTTCCAAATAATTAATAATTAATAAATTTTTAAAATTTACGAATTTGGGGGCAGCAGATATTTTTTCTCTTTTTCGAATTTAGTAAGTAAAGTAATATGAAATTATTTTCTTAAATTATTATTATTAATTAAAATTTGGATATAAATATTAAGCGATAAAATAGATAAAAAAAAAATTAATTAATATAATTTTTTTCTTGTTAAATAATTCGTCAGTATTAGAAAGAGAAGTAATCCCCTATTGTAAACAATTTCAGGTAACGACCCTCGGCATTGTTAAGAGAAATTGTTTTCGTTTCGTCCTTGTCTATCTTCACTTCTTCGACAATAAAAGTAAGAAATAATAATTTCCCCTTTATTTTCTTTTCTTCGCTGACAATTTTTGTCTTCAAGTTGAATAAGTTGGCCATAGAATCGCAGTTCGTTGGTCTCATTTGGTGGAAGAAATTGTTAAATTTTTCTTTTTATCAAATTAGTAAATTTAATTAATTTATTATTTTTATCATTTGACCATTTACTTTAAATTAAATATTTATTTATTTCATTTATTTTTATTGTTTGATTTATTTTGTAATACTTGTATGTTTATACATACTTGATTAAATATTATTTTAATTATTTCGATTATTTTAATAAATTTTAATAATTAATAATAATTATTTATGTATTTGTTTAAATATTTTCTTCTTTTCTAACTGACTTAACTTTTTTACAGAGATATTTTTGTTCAACAATCATCAGTAATAAATCCGAAAGAAAAAGAAGACTCAACAGTTCACCGAAGTGTTCCTCAGAAATGCCGGAAAATCTTAAAACTGAATTTAAGGTTTAGCTTTAAATGTATTAGATTAGTTTTCGTCGAGTGTGAAAAATATTTTTGTGTTGAAATTTATTTAGCTAGGTATTTTGTAACAAATTGTATTAGCCAGGAAATTAGAAAAGTAAGTTAATAGTTTTAAAGACAAAAAATAATTTTAATTGCACACAAGAGGAGCAACGCCATCGTCAACTTTACAGCACCTTTTTCTCACCGATGATTTGGGGTAAGTCTTGGAAATTAACTTTCATTTACCTTTATTACAGCCTACATCCAGGAAAATGTTTCATTTTTCTGCTAACCAATTCGTTTTTTAATTTCAATCTTTATTTTAAAAGTTAAATTAATTTAAATATATTCCCCTTGGAATTTTTTATGAAAAAAAACAGTTTTAAGAAAAAGAAATTTTATCTTCTAACTTTGTAAATATAAAATCACTAAATATATTAATTTTTTGTAAACAAATAAAATATAAATTAAATTACAATTAAAAGTAAATTTTAATTTTAATCTATTAAAAGAAAATTAATATTTCAGTAAATGCGTATTTTTATTTAATGAAACAGAATATCTTGGTGTAGATTTTAGTTTGAATTGTAGTTAGTAAGGTACCAATTACTGTGATTTTTTTAGAAGTATATTTACTTTGTAGTTTCTTAAAGATTTAAAACGTTTTCTAAACTTAACCTTTCAACGCCTCTTTAATAAAAGAATTTTTTTCTTAAAATTTTAATGTAATTGTAACAAAATTATTTAAATAAAACAATTTTTAATTAAATTTAAATTTAAAAATTTAAAAGAAAAAATACTAAACTATAATAAAAAAACCAAGAAAAAAATTTTTAATTTTATTAATTGAATAATTGTACTTATTACTTTCAATAGTAAGTATTTCTTATAGCTGAAATATCACAGTAATTGGTACATTTTGTTTATATATAATACTTACTGTTACCCAACTGGTAGTAGCGCTTGCGTCTGAGTACCAAGTCTAAATCCTTGTTTTCGTATAGAATTATTTTTCTGAACTATTTTGCTTAATAATTAATGATAGGAATTAAAGAAGTCAATAATATATGAATTGCTATTTTTTAATACAACATTTTATTTATCAATATATTAAATCATACAGTATTACATATTTTTTTATTCAAATTAAAATGTAAGCGCACGCAAGCCTACTATACAGAAAGGAGGAAATCTTTTAATCCCTGAAAATAAGTAACTTCAGGATGGTCGCAAAATTTGATTTACAAAATTCCCTGACTGATTTTTCTTTTTTCTGGACTAACGAATAAAATTTTGCACAACTAATTAAAAAGTTTATATTGTTTTTAGTAACAATTTCATTTATAAGGGAAACATAATATAAAGTCTAAACACAATAACTAAACATTCACTTGAGCACATTTTTTTAATTTGTAGTTTCTTTTCGATTAAATTTTTGTTTTCTGACTTTCGACTTTTAAGAATTTTTACAAATTCCCTAATTATTATTAAATTTAAAAATATAAATGTAAGTGTAAATATCTGACTCAGGGTGATCGAGATAATAAACTGTAGGGGAGTATAGTCGAGGTTGGACCACTGTCTAGGTAGGCCATTCGCGATATTTTGGACAGTTTACTAGTGCCACCTACGCGCATGCTTGACGAAGCTTGTCTTAGTGAAACCTAACTTTTTGTTCAATTACATTTTCGGAGAATCAAAAATTGTGTTTTCTGTGACGTCGGTACAAAAAAAGCTCAAAAAAAGTTTTGTGCATCATGTGAAAAATCATTAATAAAAAATAAAAGAGAAATTTAATCGTCAAAGCAAGCATGCAGAGCTTTTGTAGGACTCATGGTTGAAAGAAAAACAAAGTGAAAAATCGAATCCCGAAACGTATTTATTTCTTTATGGTTACAACAATTCGATAATGTTACTTTCTGTCAAGGTCAGTCACTTTGTGTTTAAAATGCGCAAAGATGAGGACGAGCTACTTCATTTGCAAAAACTGCAATTCTGAATAACTCATAATATATTTGATGATCTTATTAATATTTTTATTTAATTTTATTAATATTTCAGTGCAAAATTTTTTTTTATATATATTTATTTTTTTATATTGTTTATTTTTAATATTTTATTAAGTTACAAGCTGTAAACAATAAAAAATCAATTTTCCGTAACTCCAAACATGTTAGTTTTTAACGTTAATGCCCTTTGAATTTTAAACATGGACCGACTTTGACTGTAAGGACCAACCTGGACGACAAATTTTTTTTTTTTAATCTTAAACTTTTTGATTTTAAAACCAATCAATTTACTTTGTACAGAAAAAATTTTTCTATTAAACAGGACTTTCCAACAATATACTTCAATTGTCCAAATTCATTTTAAAAAAAAAGTTATAAACAAAAGTCAAAAGGTGGGCCGACCTCGACTATATTCACCTATAATTAGATTTCTGACAGTTAAAAGTTTCAATTAATACTACATATAAATTAGTTTATTACATTTCATTTATTATTTAACAGTTTATTATTTTTTCATAAAAGATTGTACAAAAGCATATTTGGTTCTAAGTCATAAATTTTTAGTACAAAAAAGAGAAAATCGTCATTAGTGGTTAAAAATCCTCCAGTTAGGTGATGAATCGATTTTCAGTTTTCTCCTCCTCCTAGTTTTTAATCTTATTATCCTGAAACAAAAAAAAAAGATTATTGAATTTCTTGGGTAACAGTAATAGTAATAACTATTACTATAAATTGTAATAGAGTATTTTTTTGTAGTGCAAATAAAGTGAAGTCGGCATCTCAATTTCTTGTAGGGAAAACGCACTTTACTTATTTTCTGGGGAGCAGGACAACTTCTTCCAGGAGTGGCAGGAATTGTTTTCCTCCTGGCAAAAAAGGTGAAGTGATCGTGTCTTTCCCTGGAGGGAACCGACTTGTTTTTTCTCCATTCTATGTATCAATTTATCATTTTATTTTCATTTAATTTCCTTATGAAAACACACTTCACTTATTTTCTGGGGAGTAGGACAATTTCTTCCAAGAGTGGCAGGAATTGTTTTACGCCTGGAAAATAAGAGGAAGTGATCATCTTATTTATTTCTCTGTGTATTTTCACTTCAGTCTCCTCTAGGGAAAACGCATTTTGCTTATTCTCTGGAGAATAGGACAGTTTCTCCCACTAGTGGTAAAAATTGACTTATTCCTGGCGAATAAGACGAAAGTGTCGTCTTCTTTCCCTGGAGGACCGACTAGATTTTCCAACTCAGTCGTTCACTGTCTCTTTGGTAAACGGCTGGGTTACCTGCTTCTCTCAACTATCTTTTTTTCTCTCTTTTTTCTTCTATCTTCTTTTTTTCTGTCTTCTTTTTTTCGGTCTTCTTTTTTTTCTGTCTTTTCAGTCTCCCCTAGGGAAAACGCTCTTTACTTATTCTCTGGGCAGTGGGGCAATTTACTTTACTCCTGGCGAATAAGGCAAAGTGTCGTCTTCTTTCCCTGAGGGACCGACTTCTCTATCTACCTAGTAGAGCTGATGTCACCTCTCCTTTGGAGGGACTCAGTCTCCCCTAGGGAAAACGCGCTTCTCTTATTCTTTAGGGAGTAGGGCAACTTCTTCCCCCCAAGTAGAAGTTGCTCTTGGGAGCAAGATGAAGTGTCGTATCTTTCCCTGGGGGACCGGCTAGTCTCTGTTGACCAATGGAAGAGCAGACATCAGTTCTCCCTCCCTTCCTTTTGGTGGAAAAGACTTGCAACAAGTCTTCTTTCCGAAGAAAGTCTTTCCACCAACTCAGTCCTTCACAGACTCCCTAGTGAAGGACTTGAGAATTTCCTCCTCCCTTACCTATCCCAGGGGAGAGTGTGACGACTTTCTCTCCCCACCTGGGAAACGAAGTCGTCCTCAAGGAGAGAAGTTGTCGACTTCACTCTCCTTGAGTAGGAAGAGAGAAAAGTCAGAAGTCGTCCTCAGAAAGGGGATGGCGACTTTCTCAATTCCAGAAGAAGTCGAACGGGTAAGAAGGTCACTGTGAATACCGATCTCTAAGAGATGAAAAAAAATTGACGTACACCCCCCCCTTTTTCTTTCTCAAGGAGAGAAGTTGTGGTGCTCCTCTCCTTGACTTCGACTTCTACTGAGAAGTGGAAAGTCTCCATTTCCAACTTCCCTAATCGAGGAGATCGAAGTCGGAAACTCTCTCCTCGAGGACGACTTTGTTTTCTCCAAAGTGGGAGATTTATCCCAAGTGGAAGAGAAAGTCGTAAAACTCTCCCACTTGGGAAACGACTTCTTTTTCTCCCTAGGGAGAGAGAGAAGTCGCCAACTTCCTCCTTTCCTGTTCCCTCCATTTCCTACTTCTCCTTCCACCAACAGAGAACTAACTCTCCATTGTAAGAGTAGGAAAGGGAGGGGATAGAAAAGTCGGAAAGAGTAGAAAAAAGGAGGGGAGGTTCAGGAATTAAAGGTTGGAAGGTGTTGGAGGAAAATTCGATTATTTAAATCAATCAGAAGTATTTTTAGCCACAATAATACAACATTTAATTTCAATTACTTTCAATCGAAATCAATGATGTATAATTATGACTGTTGTTCCTTCCAACTGATTCAAATTTAAAAATAAATATCATAAGGAATGAAGAGGAATTGAAGTTTCTTACTGGAAGACATTTTCAATTCTCCTTCTTCCTTAATTTTTCTCAACAAAAATAAAAGTACGTAAACTTTATGCGTGCCGTTCAATTAACAATAAAATTCTCTACCTGTTAATTATTAAACTTCGTCTATTTTCTGTTTTCTAGATGGTTCAAGTCTGATGCTACCTTTGGATCGACAACAGTTATTTTGTGTTAATTTAAGAAGAAAAAAGAATTACAAGAAAATGTACTTTTTTAAGAAGTAAAATAAAAGTTTTTTCTAAAATAAAATTTTTTTATTTTTAAGAATTGTACCAACAAATAAAACCTTTTTCCCTTTGTATATATAATTTTGCAAATTTTTTTCTTTGTTTTAAAAAATAGTGAATCATAAATAAATATCAAATAAATAATAGTACATTATGTAACAAGGGAGGTAAGTCCGAGTTTATGTGCCGAGGTTACCTCCCACACGCAGAGAGAAATTTTATTTAATCCAAATATATTTTATTTGAGTTAAATAAACTTATATTTCTCTCAGAACCAACTAGACTTTTTATTTGTTTCAAATAAAAATTTTATTCGACGTAAATAAAATATATTTGAGCTAAATACAATGTTATTTAAACCAAATAAAATTTATTTGAAACAAATATAAAGTCTAGTTGGTTCTGAGCCAAATATATCTTTTCTCTGGATACATGTTACATACTTTAGTTTATGCAACAAAGGCGTATTATGGTCACTATAGACTACCTGTGCTGGTGTTTGCTAAGTTCTCCCATGTAACCCACTGGTCCCATTATTACCCTAGGGTTATAATGGGTAATTTATTGACCTGCGAGCGGTCAATAAAGGTACAGGTAGATAAAGTGACCATAATACGCCTAAGTTACATAAAAGTTTTTTTCCTGAAATTTTACTGAATTTCGATAAAAATGAGATAAAAGGCCAAAACAGTAATTTTTCAAGAACTAGACTGTAAAACAATTTCATTAAATAATTTAAAAAGCATAAACTTTACGATACATGTATTAGTGCTCCCAGTAATAAATTAAAAATTCAAACTGAGTCTTTAAAATTTCACTTACATTTCAGTAAAACATAAGACAAGTGTTCGCCACATTTATACATTCATATTTACTGAATAGTTCGGCAAAACGTAAATTTATATTAACTGAACAGTTCGGTAAAGCGTATATTTAAAAATATACATATTTTAAATGAATATGGAAGTTTTAAATTATTAAATTAATTAATAGAAAATAATTCTTCGTGAAATATTAAATAATTACGTTTACGCCATTATATCCCAACTTTTATATTGAAAAATTCTATAAAATATAAGGAACAAATTTTCTCCGTGTACAAATAAATATAAATTTCAAAACTAGAAAATAAAAGAAAAAAATATAAAATGTGAATTAAATAATAAAATACACAATTAAAAGATGAATAACTTAAAAAAGAAATTAAGAAAAAAAATTTTAAAAAGTAATGAATAAAAAATTTAATTAAGAAAATGGAATTATTTAAATTTAAGAACAGAATATTTGAACTTAAAAATTTACAAAATTTGTAAAATATAACTTACAAGAAGGTTTAGTACTATTTTTTTGCAATTTCTGGAAATCTTTTTTTTGGCACGACGAAAGTACGCACTAATTTTTTTGTCAATAAAAATATATAATCTACTATGAGTTTTTAATGTTTCTAAAAATTGAGAAAATGATATTTCAATTTATTTTTAAACTTCAGAATATTAATTAAATTTTTATAATTATTTTTAAACTTTTAAATTCGAAATGTCAGAGAATTTCATTAAAAGTTAGAGAAATTTCTAAAAATTTATACAAAAATTAAAATTTTTTTGTGAATAAAAAATTTTTTTAATCTAACAAAACATAAAAAAAATTAATTATCGTTTGTTTCTATCATGAGACGTTAATTTATTGTTAAATATGTCAGTTACCACATTTTTGTCCCATGAAAGCAGAAATAAAATTAGTAAAAAGTCAGGGAATATTTTTTCAACCCTTGTTAGACACCCTGTTTAAATTAAATTGAAAAAGCGAGAGTAAATTTTGAAATTCTAAATCAAATGAATTTATTAATGTAATTTATAATTTTATAACTCTACATCGAAAATTTCTCAATTTTTGGAAACAAGTGTCATTAGTGCACAATAAATACTAACTACTGTTTAAACTAAAACCTACACCCAGCTGTTTTTCATTAAAAGCAGATTCTTTAAATATTGTTTTCAATAAAATTATATGTCGAATTTTTAATACTTCTGATAATGAATATTTTTCATTCAAGACAATAGGTTTTATTTGACTCATATTTAGAGAGTGATTAGAATAATTTTTATTCAAAATGCACCAAAATGGCGCTTTCAAATAGCAGACGACAGGGAGAAAACTTTTTTCATTGAATACAATTTTTAATTTCAAAACCTTTTTAAGTGGAAAATTTTCTTAAAGTAAAGAATAAAGTTACTAGATTTTTTTTATTCAATAAAACATTCTCTGGGTGTAGGATAGGATAACTATAATAAAATATTATTTTTGACTTACCCCTTAATGTTGAGATAAAGTTGACGCCGGATGTTGAATTCTCTTGAAGAAAAAACAATGTTTTCTGCTTAAAACTACTTACACATACTTCGATCATTTCCTAGCTAATACAATTACATTTTTTTAGTTTCAAAATCCCTAGCTAAGTAATAATTTTTCCTAATACAATAAAAGCTAAATACTTCATGAGATATCGAAGATTTTAAAACATTTTTCAATCACGCGATGGTATCTCCTTTTGACTCTTGTTTCGTTGTCGACTTCTCTTTGATGACTCAAAGAAATATGTCTCTGCAAAAAAATGTAAGTTGAAGAAAAATGTAAATAAATTGTTAAAATTAATTCCTACGTTTAAAATTTTTTTAATTGCTGACACAAAATATTATTTATTAAAACAAACTACACGTTTGATTCAAGAAAGAAATGTTAGCAAATAATTGACGTAATTATTTATTAATAAATCACATTAGTATTATTTTAAAAATTATTGTTTACTGTATAAATAAATAATAAATTAAATTAAAACATGTTAGTGAAACAAAAAACATAATTTGTAGCTTCAATTGTTGATAGTCTAATTAATATTATAGGTTATCAATAAATATTTCTGAGTATGAAAAAAATTATAACCAGTAATTACTGCTTAAAATAATGTACAGCAGTGGACATTAATATTTAAAAAATAAAAAATTTATAGAAAATGTCAAATTTAAGACAAATCTATGGGAACGTCCTTAATTTTTTTTGAACGAAGTAAATATTTATAATTATTTTAAAAATTTATAACCAGTAATTAACGTATAAAAGAAGGTACAGCACTAGACATTAATATTTGAAAAATAAAAAATTTAAGTAAAATATCTAATATAGGGCAAATCTATTGGATGGGGAAAGTCCTTAATTTTTTTGTAAACTAAGTAAATATTTCTGAGTATGAAAAAAATTATAACCAGTAATTTCTGCTTAAATTAAGGTACAGCTGGGGACATTAATATTTGAAAAATAGAAAATTTACAGGAAAAAAATGAATTTTATTATTATATTTTTATTGAATTATTTTATTTTTGTTTTTATTATTTATTAATAAAAAAATTAAATAATGAAAACTCAAATATTTTAAATTTATTTTCTAACAGATTTAAATTTAAACTAATATAATATAAAAAAAATGTTTTTCCTTGATTGAAAGTTTTGTTTTTAAAGACTTTTTTATTGGGAACATAAATTAAAGAATTTTATTTAGATTAATTTTATAAAAGTGAAGAATAAAGTAAATAGATTTTTTTAATTAAGTAAAAGATTTTCTGAGTTTAGAATAAGATAAAGTATAATAATGATAAAGTATAAGTATTATTTAAATAATTATTGTTTACTATATGTGCAAATAAATAATTGATTAATTTAAAACATATTATTAAAACAAAAACTAAATAATTTGTAGATACAATTATTATAAGTCTAAATAATATTAATAGTTTTGGTACTTACTCATTATGAAGAATGACCAGAGTATTCAATACGAATTCCTTTCTTCAAAAATGTGTCGTAGATTGGAAACTCTTGCATATCCTATTCGACAGATAAAATTTTATATTCTTTGTTTTTGAGGCGCTTATTTATTGTTTAAATAATTGATTTCTTTCGAAAAATTTTTTAAAAAATTGTATTTCAAATAAGTGAATATCTGTGAAAATTTTATTATTCTAATTGAATTTTTGCGAAGACTTTTATTAAATTAAAAAAATTGCATTCTTTTGAGTATCTTTATTGAAATTTTAGATTTAGAAAGTATTTTAATATCAGCGAAGAATTTAATTATTTGTTAAAATAATTTAACTCTTGGGAAAATTTTTCCAAAAATTTTTAAAAATACAAGTGGAATTGTTTCAGAGAATTTGATATATTTTATTAAGTAGTTACAAAATTATAATACTGTTTGTAAGAACATACAGCAGTGAATATTAATGTTTTAAAAATGAAAATTTCAGAAAAAAGTCTAATTTACAAGAAAAAGGTTGGTAGGAAACATTCTTAAATTATTTTATTACTCAGTATATATTTCTAAGTAAGAAAAAAAATTATAAACAGTAATTACTGTTTGTAAGAACGTACAGCAGTGGACATGAATTAAATTAAAATAAAAATTTTAGAAAAAATATAATTTAAAACAAATCTTTTCTAAAACTCTGCAATTTTTTACAAACTTAGTATATATTTTTTTAAATATTAAAAAAATTATAAACAGTAACTACTGGTTGTAAGAACTTACAGCAATGGACATTAATGGCTGGAAAATTAGTATTTTTGGAAGAAAGTTTTATTTAAAAGATATCGAGAGGGTGGAAAAACTTCTTAATTTTTTTATGAACTTTGCTAGGTAATGTTTTTGAGTATGAAAAAAAAAATAAAAATAGTAATTATTGTTTATATTAATGTACAGTAGTTCACAATAAAATTGCAAATTAATATTTTTGATAAAAGTTTAATTTAAAAGAAATCTGCGGGATAGAACTATTTTGTAATCTTTTTATTTTTTTAGGAGGAATGTTGCGCCATTTTTAAGTAAAAGATTAAAAATGTAAGACTTTCTTTTAACTATTTGAGATATTTGAAAAAACAGTAGGTTTTTGCCTTAAAAAATAGAAAGAATATTCTATGCTGTTTTTTTAAAAATTATTTTTGCATTTTAATCTTTACCAATTTTAAAGTTTTCATTTTATTAAAAAAAATTTTTATTTTGAAATTTTACTTCTTAATTTTTTTTTTATTTTTAAATGTGAAAATAAAATATTGGTATATCTTTGACTTACTTTGGTGAACTCAGCTTTTGAAGATTTCCGGTCAATTTCGAGTCATGCTTCGGTATTTTATTGAGTCCTTACTCTGTCGACTTCTTATTAAAGACTGCTAAATAAAATACGTTTCTGAAAATAAAATTTTAGTTTATCAGACGTGAATTTAAAAAAATAATACTATTATTGAATTTTATTTTATTTAACACACGCTATGGAAAATTCAGGTAGAAGGCGAAAACTTTCCATAGGAAAATAAAAGGAGAAAGAGCTCAATTTTAATTTTGTACTTTTATTGTTCTTAAAGTAAGGGTAGACAAGGACGAAAAGAAAACAGTTTCTCTTAACACTGCCAAGGGACATTATTTTTCTTGTTTACAATAGGGGATTAACTTCCCTTTCTATTTGAAAGGCAATAAAATATTGAAATTAATAATTTTCAAAATTTTCTGTAATTTTTCTCTTAATCAGGCCATATAAAATATTCAAACTAACTTAACAAAAAATAAATAAAATTTTATTACATACATCTCATTCTTTCGAGAAAAGGTGAAAGAGGTAACTTTTTTTTAAGAGGAAAGAGTTGATTTTCTCTTTTGGTAAAACAGAAAAAATAAAATACTTTTGTGGAAAATTTGAGAAAGATTTTAGAGAGCAAGGGACTATAATGTTCCGAATGTAGGAAGTAATAATGACTTACTCATTTTTAGTGAAATTGTGATGCGACAAAGCTCATAATAATAGGTGACCAAGTATCTTTTCACATTGCATGTTGACGCCTTGCTGATTGTTTGTTTCTCCTTCGACATCTCATTAACGACTGTGAAATATATCAACACTTGATGATAGATGCGTAACGTCCCTGCAAAAGAAAATTTTTTTTTATTAGAAAAAGAGGGAAAAGTATGAATGACCTTTTTTTAGGGGAAAAAATTTAGGAAGTAAAAAATTTTAATTCAAGAAAGAAATTCTTGAAATTTACTATTTTGGTAAACAATTTAGTATAGTTAGTTACTAATGAAAAAAAAATTATTTACTTATTTTTTTGATAAAAGAAACAAGAGAAACGAAACTGTACACATAATGTTGAGTATCGTCCTATTTGTAAGTATATATATTTGCGAGTAAATCAGAACTTATGCTAGCAAGCAACAAACACATGCTGTTGATTTAGGGCTTTTAGACGGCGTAGCACAGTGAAACTAGACTAATGCCGACATTATTATTATTATTATACAACTTCTGAAATATGAAATCTTGCTTTCCTGCGTTTAAAACGAAGATGAAGACGAGGAACTTGACTCTATATTGTATATGGGGGAATTCGGTGTGGATATACCAATTCCGTTGGCAATTTATAACAACTGAATTGCAAGGGCTTTTGCCATCAGACACTTATTCAGAGGGTATGATACTACTTTAACTGCCTTTAGAGTACGAAACATTCTCTGCAATATAATTCAGGGCACAGGGAGCTTGTTTCTCAGTGATAAACACCCGCGTGTAATTCAGAAACGAGATTCGACTCACGGCAGCTAGCAGTAGTTGCAGTAGTAGCAGCAAACAACTCATTCGTTTAAAATAAATAATGATATTTCACCCTCACTACATAGTCACGATCAAATATATATGTGCATTCACACGCTATAAATATCAATCAATTTTTTTAATTACACTCTTCGTAATTTATTATACAAACAAACATTTTTTTCAAATTAATTATGTACAATTTTGAATTAAGTTTTCATTGAGTCATTTAAATTTAATGCCTATTTTAAAATTTAATCAAAATTATTTAATTTCTATTATATATACTAAATAGTTTAATTATAATGCTCTGACATGCAATATTAATAAACAAAAAACTGAGTCGAGAAATAATTAACTAAGTGATTATTTAATTTATATAACTAGCAACAATTCGCGCGCGGCTGACTTCTCACTCACTTTTTTAAAATATAATTGGAAATTTTAAAAATAATAGAACGGAAAATTTTAAATTCAATTTTTTTATAAAAACAAAATATGAATTGGAATTTATAGTTTTAATATTATTATAGTTATAATTATATATTGCGACATTGGGAAATCAGGGAAAAGTCATAAAAAGTAACCATAGCCGGTAATCAGCAGAAGATAAAGAATTATTTTTTGAGCGAACTTTATCTTCTGTATACTAATAATTGTTAGTCACAAAATTTTTTACTGATCCCAAACTATTGCTAGAACAATTACAATTAATATCTCCGTCATAAAAATTAATTTAATTCACAATTTATAAAAAGTAACCACAGCCGATAATCAGCAGAAGATGAAAAATTATTTATTGAGCGAACTTCATCTTCTGTTTACTAACAACTGTTAGTCACAAAATTTTTTTCTGGTCCCAAACTATTGCTGGAACAATTACAATTAATATCTAAGTCATAAAAATTAATTTAATACACAATTTATAAAAAGTAACCACAGCCGATAATCAGCAGAAGACAAAAAATTATTTTTTGAGCGAACTTTATCTTCTGTTTACTAACAATTGTTAGTCACAAAATTTTCTACTGGTCCCAAACTATTGCTAGAATAATTCAAAAGAATATTTATGAGAAACTTCAGGACAGAGCCATATTTTAATTATGATGAAATTAACTTTTTTAAACGAAGAAAATTTTGTGCATTATCTCAAAATACAAATCTCACCCATTTAACCACATTCAACAAATATGTTTAATACGAAAAATATGTAATTTGTACAATTTTTTATCTATCTCTCCCTCTAGTCACCCTCACCCGTCACTGTCTATTGTGTCTACTTGAAATGCAGTTGTTTTAAAGATTCAAACGCACATAATGTGAAACTAAAAAAAAGTCGCTTGAAAGAAAATGAATTCAATTTACTTGCGACACTTCTTCGGTGGGATAAAAAGAAAAAAATAAATAAAGAAACAAGGAGGAAAACTTGTGATACGTGTCCCATAGTAAATAGTCGTTCCCCCATATATACACGTATTTCAAGGAGCCCCATAGAATTTACAATGTTGCAGATGTTAATTGAAAGGCGTCCTCTTTCTCGCAATACAACTCGAAGAGAAAACACAGTAAAAGGTAAAGTGGATGGATAAAGTAAGCATTCGAAGAGAGAAAGAGAGGGAGACAGAGAGGGAGGAGAGGGGAATTTGTAAACTCGTACAAATATGGCAAATCAAAGAAAAAACTTGCCCGTGTTAGCACTTCAGGCTCATTCACACACCATGTGTGACGAACGGCAATTAATAATTACCACATTCTGCGAAAAGAAATGTCTTCTGAACTAATTCTATAGTCTGTAGAGTTCGACAAAAAGAGAAAAAAAAGGAAAGAGGAGAGAAAAAAACCGAATACGATTCACGAAACAAGTATAAACACAGCTGGAAATAAATAACTATATATATATATATATAAACTCCTCAGGTACCATATTGAGAGAAAAATTTTTGAGGTAAAAAAAATTTCGTTTACTTGCTTTCAAATTGCTTGACATAAAATGAAAATTGTAATTTTTTACTTCAACACCTATATCAGTTTTATTCCTTTTAAGAGATATTTTTATGAAAATTTTTCAGGGTTGACACAAAAATTTAATTTTGTTTTTCCCTGATTTTCAGACAAAATATCCTTTCGTAGAAATTAAAATTCTTCAAAACATTCAAATTCAAACCTTTTGAAATTCAATAACTGATTAAAATATTTTTGCAAAACATGAAGCAATGGATCACTCCCGAGTCAAGTGCTCGATTTCTTCATATTTTCTAAAAATTAAAGATGACCGAGTGATAGAATCATTATTTTATATCATAAGAATATTATTACTGTAACTCCTTCAAAATTATTTTCATCATTTCAATTCGATTATTATTTTCTACAATTTTTAAATAAATTTCTTCTTTAGATCGATTATTTTTAATAATTTTTGAAAAAGTTCTTCTTTTCTTGAAAGTGTTCAAACCCATTTGTCTACACTTCAATTTTACGTGAAATTTCGATTCTTCAAAAATTCTTTAATTAAATATACATTAGAAAATAAAAACTTGAAATAATTTAAAAAAAATTTTTATTAAGGTTTTTGAAAAAACTTAGTTCCATAGAATTTTTAATTAAAAATATAAAAAATTCAGATTTTCAAAGATTTTAATGCGAAACCTTTACAAAATCCAATTATTTCTAAAAATTGCAATTATTAGTAAATTTTCCAAAATTCAATAATTATCTAAAATTTTAACTGATATTAATTTTTTAATCAATTTTTATTAGAAAATTCTACAATAATTCAATAATTAAAATACAAGCATAAATAATTTATTGAATAAGTGAATGTTTCTTAGAATTGATTTTTTATACAGAATTTTATTTAAATAATTGAATTCTTTTAGAAAGTATTGACGCAACATTGATCTTTAAATGTTTTAAATATTTCGTTGAGATCAAAGTAAAACTTTTGGGGCGCATGATTATTCCCCAAATGTCATTTTTCCGAAATGTCATTTTACCGAACTGCACTTTTGCGAATACTCATTTTTGCGAAAAGCCAATTTTGCGAAATGTCACTTTTGCGAATTGTCATTTTTTCGAAAAGCTATTTTTGCGAATTGTCATTTTTGCGAATCGCCATTTTTACGAATTGTCAATTTTCCGAAAAGTCATTTTTACGAATCGACATTTTTACGAATTGTCAATTTTCCGAAAAGTCATTTTTGCGAATTGTCATTTTTACGAAAAGACATTTTTGCGAAAAGTCATTTTTACGAATTGCCATTTTTGCGAATTGTCACTTTTGCGAATCGCTATTTTTACGAATCGTCATTTTTACGAATTGTCATTTTCGCGAAAAGTCATTTTTGCGAATCGTTATTTTTACGAATTGTCAATTTTTCGAAAAGTCATTTTAGCGAATTGTCATTTTTGCGAAAAATACAATAGTGAATTTATAGACCTACAAGTTTTCTATTGTATTTTTCGCAAAAATGACAATTCGCAAAAATGACTTTTCGGAAATTTGACAATTCGTAAAAATGTCGATTCGCAAAAATGACTTTTCGGAAAATTGACAAATCGTAAAAATGGCGATTCGTAAAAATAGCGATTCGCAAAAGTGACAAATCGCAAAAATAACATTTCTTAAAAATGACAATTCGCAAAAATGGCAATTCGTAAAAATGACTTTTCGCAAAAATGGCTTTTCGCAAAAATGACATTTCACAAAAATGTCTTTTCGTAAAAATGACAATTCGCAAAAATGAGTTTTCGAAAAATTGACAAATCGTAAAAATGTCGATTCGCAAAAATGACTTTTCGGAAAATTGACAATTCGTAAAAATGGCCATTCGCAAAAATGACAATTCACAAAAATAGCTTTTCGCAAAAATGACAATTCGCAAAAGTGACATTTCGCAAAATTGGCTTTTCGCAAAAATGACAATTCGCAAAAGTGCAGTTCGGTAAAATGACATTTCGGAAAAATGACATTTGGGGAATAATCATGCGTCCCAAACTTTTGGACATTTGGGAATCCAAAAAAATCGCTGTATTTTTTAAATATGCTTAAAAACGATTTGTTATCAAAAAAGTTATTTTTAATAATACCACGTGTGAAATTATCACGATCGACTTGATACATAAAGTGTACATTATAGACGTCGAGTGAGTTATAAAGATTCACGTTCGATAAACTTGTAGCCGGCACCAAAGACCTCTAATTCATTAATATCCGCACGCCGGATATTAATTCACTTGGCGTAATTGCAGTTGTACGCGTAGCAGCTTAAAACTATAACTTCCCTATAGTTTGGCCGAGCTAATGTGTAATATGCGATTAGAAATGAAAAAAAAGGA